ATAGAGGATTCTGGTCGACCAATAAGCTGTGAAAGATAGAGGATTCTGGTCAACCAATAAGCTGTGAAAGATAGAGGATTCTGGTCGACCAATAAGCTGTGAAAGATAGAGGATTCTGGTCAACCAATAAGCTGTGAAAGATAGAGGATTCTGGCCAACCAATAAGCTGTGAAAGATAGAGGATTCTGGTCAACCCATAAACTGTGAAAGATAGAGGACTCTGGTCAACCCATAAGCTGTGTAAGATGCTGGACTCTGGTCAACCAATAAGCTGTGGAAGATGCTGGACTCTGGTCAACCCATAAGCTGTGGAAGATGCTGGACTCTGGTCAACCAATATTCAGAGCTACAACAGGGATTAGGTTGCTTTCAAAATATCTTGAGGTTTCTACACTTTGATGATTTTCAAACCTGGTCTGATCGCTGGAGTACTGACAAACTGGCACCGTTTAGAGATATGCTTATTCATTTCCAGGGCACATTACAGAGGCCGTACTAGCCTGGAGCAAACCTGACAGTTAATGAACAATTAGTATCATTTCGTTGTTGTCCTTTCAGGCAGTACATGCCATCAAAACCTGGAAAGTATGGAATCAAATGGTGGTTATGCTGCAAGTCAGACAATGCTTGTGTTTAATAGTCTCAAAGTGGGTTCCTCATCATTGAATTTGAATGCTTATGTTTGTAGTTTAGACGTTTATCTTGGCAAACAACAAAAAATGTTGGTGAAAACACAACTTATACAGACTTATCGTTGTTCTGGATGGAATGTTACCATGGAAAAGCTTTTTTATGAGTGTGCCTCTTGCAAAGGAAATGCTCCAGCATAATCTGACTATCAGGAAAAACAAATCACAGATTCCTAAGAATTTTCAACCATCAACACAGAGACCAACTGAGTCATCAGTGCTTGGATTTGATAATAATCTAACTCTTGTATCCTGTGTTCCCAAAATGAACAAAGCTGTTGTTTACCTCTCATCTGTGCTTCACACTGTAAACAAAAGTAGTCTCAGTGCAAAGTAAAAAAAAAAAATCATAAAGGACAATGATATGATGTATCACTAGTTCAAAAAAGATAATTTTTTAGTTACATTTATTTTAAAGAGTAACTTTATCCCTGAATTAGTTATTAAGACATTTCTTAAGCTGGTATTGAATTTCTGTTGGTGTTCCATACACAATAAAATATTCAATGTTTCCTTCAGGATGAATTTTGCATAGGGGTCTAAAAAGACTCCCCCTGGTGCAGATTGAGTTGTATTTACCCTTTTGCAAATGAGGGTTAATAATTACAAAAAGCATCAGAATATCAAAATACTATACACATAAGCACAGTGGAAACTTTACTAACCTTCCAGAGGTGAAGTTATGGTAATTGTGAGTTCCTTTATATAATGCTAGCAAGTCATTTAATTTTTTTATATTCTCACCTGAAAGAAACAATTCATGACTTAGAGATATTTCTGCATAATTACCATT